CTTCAAGAAGCTGCTCATTCGTCGGAATCTCCGATATCGGACCACTATAACATACGGCTGCCATACAAACCGAACAATCGGAATCAAGTTCTTGTATGGAAAACTTTCACATTTTACAATGTATATTCACAAAAGTTGGCACTGGTTATTTTCTATGCTAATTATGTAATATACAAAGAAATTTCTCAGATCGACTTACTATAGCATATAGCTGCCACACAAACTGAATGATTGGAATTAAATGCTTGCATTGGAAAATTACTCATTTAACGATATATCTTCACGAAATTTTGTATGAGTTATGGTTTATTGAAATAATGTAATATCGAAAGCAATTGTTCAGATCGACTCACTATAGCATATAGCTGCCATACAAACCGAATGATCGAAATGAAGTTCTTGTATGAAAAACTTTCACATTTTACATGATATCTTCACGAAATTTGACATGGATTACTGCTTAAGGTAATAACATAATCTCCGGAAAACATTATTCAGATCGGATAACTATAACATACAGCTACCATACAAACTGATCACATAGTTACTAAAAGAAAGACACAGATACAAGACAGAGTATGCAAACTTCGGTGCAGCCGAAGTTAACGTTTTTTATTGTTTTTCCTCTCGTTTTAGTTATTTTATCTATCATTTCCAATTGGCTTCAACATACTATGTTTTTTTTTTTTTTTTTTTCAAATATTATCTACTCTGATCCACAAAACTAAGCTTCATAAAATTCACACAAATTTTCAACAAGAATTTAAAATAAATGAAAACCGTTTTCAAATTATGCATATGTACATATGTATATAGAATAAAAAATATTCAGAAAATACTATTTAACGAATTTGGGTTAAAATATTGCGAATTTGCTTAATTTATTAATAATCTCTAAAAATGTTTCTAACGCCTGGACGCTTAGTGCGCGTTGGCAGCAACCGCCCCTGCGTTTTTCGGAAATAGCGCTTTTCAATGACAATGCCAGCTTATTTGGCGCACCGTTAAGACACTTGTATAAATATTGGCTTAATTTTTTTGTACAAAAATATTGTTGTTTGACCCACATACGTCACAACAATCCGACCTGTCCACAGTTATGCAATAAAAAAATGCGTTTACACTTGCTTGCGGCGGTAAAAGTGCAGGGAAGTTAAACAAAACGGTAAATAACGACGAGCGCAATAAAGCAATGAAAGCGCAAGCAAAAGCTGAGAAATGCACGACACTGATAAGCCAGACACATATGTATACGTGCAAGCGCCGATCGCCGAGACGCTTGTTGGTAGCCTTGTGTGCGCTTAACACAAAATTGAGCGCCTGCACCGATTTTTGTTTTATTTTTAACTTTTATTTTTATATATATGTATATATATTTTTTTTTAACTTTTTTACTTCATATTTTTTACT